AGTGCCTGGCGTACCCCGGGGAGAAGCTGTGGGCTTGGGGGACCCGCTTTCCCTCTCTGTGTCCCCAGGCCCTGGGGGAGGTGTCCTGTAGGTCTCTGTGCTCACAGCAACCTGAATCTAGGAATAGCCTTGCTTTTCTCCCTTCAGGGCCCACCCGGCTTGCCTGGTCCTCCAGGTCCCCCCGGCCCACCTGGAGCTGTGGTTAACATCAAAGGAGTAAGTTTGGGTGGGGGCGTGGTGGAGGCTGAAGGAGGGGGCATCAGATGGCCTCAGCTGGGCTGGGTGTCCTGGCGGCCTCACCTCTCTTGTTCTATTTCCCACAGGCTGTTTTCCCAATACCTGTCCGGCCACATTGCAAAATGCCGGTAAGTAGCCTAGAGTCCCTGCCTTAAATAGCAGACTTGGTGTAGAGAGCAACACAGAGAAAAAGACTGGTTTTCATCTTGGGCCCTTCTGCCCACGAATATCCTCTCTGATGTCTTTTATGTGTAGATCTTTAAGTGGCTACAACTTCTAGATAGTAGACTGTGGCAATGAAATCTACCAATTTAAGGGTATGCACGCAGTGGCAATTGCTTTATTTTTAACACAGTCAGAAAGCAGTGTGTTTTGCTATCAAAACCATATTAGCTTCTTGCTTGGAGCAGTATAAAATGGGGAGAGGGTGAGAGACCCCTTAAAAATACAGTGGAAAAGAAAAACAACGCCAATCCATGGTCTTGGCATTGGGAATTTGGGGCTACATCTGTGACTATGTTCAAGCCTTTCCCAGGGATCATGTTACCGCACAGCACACAACCCTAAGAGGCAGGGATTAGCTCTCCCACTTTATCACGAGGAAACAAACTGTGACTCAGAAGCTCCCTGCTTGTCCAAGGTCACGGGACTGATGGAGCTGGGACCATAACTCAGGGCTCCTGAACACTAGGCAGCAGGTGCAGACACTGTAGGGTCAGGCACTTGCCTGGTTCCCCAGCCAGTCAGTGACACTGTCCCTGAGGCTTCACTTGTGGTAAGAGATCTTGTTTCTGTGGGGAAACCCAGGAAGGGTGGGCCGCACTCTGCATGGACATTAGTCACAGCACTGTGCATAATCATTGCCTCTTTCATTCGACAAGTATTTGTTGAGCACTTGCCACGCGCCAAGTTCTCTGTTAGGCCCAGAGGCCTGTGGGAACTAGACAGGCATGCTCTCTGCTCTAGGGAGCTTGCACATTACAATTGAGAACTGTTTCTCGAAGCGGGTTCCTAAGAGATGTACTGTGGAGTGTGCCACTCAGGCTTGGGTTTGAGGCTTCAAAATGACACTATTTGGCTGAGTGTTTGCTCAGACATCTGTTCATATCTAAAGGTTGAGGCCCCAAGTCTGCAGCCCTGGGCCCAGGAACTCTGACCTGGAGCTCAGAGAGCAGAACCTGCCTGTGTAAGGTGATTGAGGGGCCTGCTGCTCCCAGCTCTAGTCAAGCCCGACAGCAACACATTATAGGTTTACATGAATGGCCTGAGTGGAGAGACCTTCCTGAGATGGCTGCACCCCCCCCTCCCCCCCGCAGCCCAGAGAGGCAGAGGGCTGGCCCCAGGGCCCAAGTGAGTGACTGCCAGGAGCCCCTCCCCACTGACATGATTTCAGGCTTCAAATGGCCTGACAGGGGACAACAATTGACAATCTTGGGAGTGCTGCAAAAATGCAGCTGCAATTACCATGACCCTTTGTGGTAAAAATGGGGTCTGGGGTTACTTTGGGGGCCTGGGGTTACTTTGAATAAGCCGAAGATGGGTTCAGAGCGGTCTTGGTGGGATTTGTATCTCACAGTAAAGGCTGGCACTGTAGGGGCTGGGGCGTGTGTGTTTCCTGACCAGGCCCCAGCCTGGATGTTTCCAAACTGAATCATGCCCTCTCACATCCAGCTCTTCAGCAGCCCCTTTCATTCCAGCCCCTACCAACACCATAATGATTTACAGCTCAGGCCTGCAGTGGAGGCCTTTATCAGCAGAGCCACAGATAGCAGCTGCAGCCTCCATCCTTCACTTAGAAGTGTTTCTCCTACACGGTTCTCCCCTCCCCACCCCACCCCCAGCTTTTTTGGTGGCCCTTGTGATCCTCCTCAAGTCAGCCCAGAATGATCCTGGCGCCAGACAGATCCCTGTGATTCCATATATCAGCTGGGGAGAAAGGCAAAGTGGGCTCTCAAAAGTAAGATGGTAGGTGGCTCCTTCTTGACAGATAAGGAAATACGGGAACCTGGGAAAGAACTGGGAAGGAATGCTATCTAGAGCAGCGTGAACGCCAGGCCTTTAGCACACAGTGGAGAACCCAGAAGAGCCTTCCTCCCCCAACCTAATGGTAACGCCTTTTCTCAGTTACACTCTTGGCAGCTCCTGTGCATTAGGTTCTTCTCTGATTATATGCAGGGGCAAAGCTGATGGCTGGCCCAACTTCAGGGCTTCATTTCTCACGTGACTTGATCCTATTTGATAAGCACAGACCCAAGAATGCTCATAGTTGGCCAAACCAACTCTGCCACAATTTGTTGTCTTAAAGCCCTGGGTTTTCCTTTTGCTGAGTTTTTTTTTTTTTGGGGGGGGGG